TATGTTACAATCGACATGTTCTAGCTACTGAATTATGATTACTGTATGTTATCGCTCACGTATCGGGGTAAGGGGAACGATTTCGATTACGATTATGATTAAAGCTAGGGTACATCAAATTGGTATCAGAGCTCGTGACGATCAACAATGGCGAATGTGACGACGCGAAATGCAGACAATCGAATTGAGGACCTGGAGAGCAACGTGGGTGGGTTCAATTGAAAGGAGTCTGGAAATGATCGTTCAACAAATTGAGGAAATGAGGAATGAATTTGCAAGTCGAACAAATGTCCCAAATTCGTCGGATGAGGAAGCTGTTGGGAGATTCGATCGAGGAGACCGAAGCCGCATCCAAGGAAGTCGATTTTCAGCTATGAAAGGTCGCAAGTTAGAGATACCGATTTTTGATGGCAGAGACCCAGATGGGTGGATTTTAAGAGTTGAAAGATACTTCATGTTGAATCAGTTAAGTCAAGAAGAGAAGATTGATATGTCGTTTATTTCTTTTGAAGGAGATGCATTGAAGTGGTTTCAATGGGAACACAAGCGACATCTGATTACCAGATGAGAAGATCTTAAACACTTGTTGTTAAGACAATTCTGATCGTTAACAGCAGGTTCGTTGTGTGAACAATTTTTGTCGGTAAAGCAGGAAGGAACGATCGAAGTTTACAGAAGGAAATTCGTTGAATTCGCGGCGCCTTTGGATGGGATTCCGGAACAAGTTTTCTTAAGTCAGTTCATTAATGGATTGGAGGAATCCATTAAAGTGGAATTAAGACTGATGGATCCATTAACTCTCAGTGAAGCAATGGAGATAGCCATGAAGATAGAATTGAAGAACAAGGTATTAGCAAAAGAAAGAAATATGGGGTATACCAAGAAGACAGGTACGTTTTTTCATTCTAATGCGGATTTGAGAAGCAATGTTTCTAATCATTCCTCTAATAGTGTCGGTAATTTTGTTAATTCACTGATATTTACAAATAAATCGGTTCCCGGCTTTTGGCGTTTGTCTGATCAAGAGGTACAACAAAGAAGATCGTTGGGTTTGTGTTATCGATGTGATGAGAAATACGCACCGGGTCATAAATGTAAAAAGAAAGAGATGAATGTGTTGTTAGTTCAAGAGGGTTCATTCGATGATATTGAACCGGATACGGAGGAAAGAATCTTTAATGCGGCGGAAATAACGGATAAAGTGGAGGTGCATTTAAATTCGGTGGTGGGTTTGACTAATCCAAAAACGATGAAGATGGAAGGAAGAATTGGAGGACAAAAAGTTGTAGTATTAATCGATAGCGGTGCAACGCATAATTTCATATCCTACGATCTAGTGAAAAGACAGAAGTTAAAAGTGGAAGCTACAGGAGAATACACTATATTACTTTGGGTTCCGGAAACATGGAGAAGGGGAATGGCATTTGCAAAGGGATAACGTTGTTTTTACCAGAAGTAGAGATAAGGGAAGATTTTCTTCCTTTGGGTTTGGGTAATAGTGACGTGATCTTAGGGATGCAATGGTTGGAGTCTTTGGCGGCAACGTATGTTAATTGGAAGTTACAAGTAATGAAATTCACTTGTGGGGGAAATTCAGTCACCTTAAAGGGTGATCATCTTTGGGACGTTCGATGGTATCGCTAAAAGCTATCGGAAAGGTGATCAACCAGGAAGGACAAGGCGTGTTGGTGGAATTGGGTACTTGTTCGGTATTTTCGGAGGAAATTGCAGAATCAAATGTTGTTTTGGATCCACTACTAAGAGAATTCGAATCGGTTTTTAACATGTCGTGGGATTTACCACCGGAGGTAGGGAGCATGGTATTGTATTAAAAGAAGGGACTGAAACGATCAATGTTCGGCCGTACCGTTATCCTCATTATCAGAAAGATGAAAACGAGAAGTTGGGGAAAGAAATGCTCGAGGCGGAAGTGATTCAACCGAGTATGAGCCCTTTTTCCAGTCCGGTATTGTTGGTCAAGAAAAAAGACGGAAGTTGGCGGTTTTGTATTGATTATCGAGCCTTGAATAAAATGACCATTGTTGATAAGTTTCCAATTCCGGTGATAGAAGAGCTTTTAGATGAATTGTTCGGAGCAACCGTATTTTCCAAACTAGATTTGAAATCGGGTTACCATCAAATTCGAATGAAAGAGGAGGACGTGTACAAGACGGCTTTTCGAACCCATCAAGGACATTACAAGTTTTTCGTAATGCCCTTTGGTTTGGTGAACGCTCCGGCAACATTTCAGGGATTAATGAATGAGGTTTTCAAGAATTATTTACGAAAGTTTGTGTTGGTATTTTTCTATGACATTCTAGTTTATAGTAAAACGATTGAAGAACATCAGGTGCATTTACGGAAGGTGTTGGAGGTCATTTGTCAACATCAATTGTTTGCAAACAAAAAGAAATGCGAGTTCGGTCGTGATCGTTTGGGGTATTTGGGTCATATAATTTCAGCAAAAGGAGTAGAAGTTGACCCATCAAAAATTGCGGCAGTTTTGGATTGGGTGGTACCGAAGTCAGTAACTGAATTGCGAGGGTTTTTGGGGTTGTCTGGTTATTATAGAAAGTTCATAAAAGGGTACGGTACTCTAGCCAAACCTCTCACCGACTTCTTGAAAAAGAATCAATTTCATTGGAATACGGAAGCTCAATGGGCGTTTGACGAATTGAAGAAAATGTTATCTGCAACTCCGGTGTTACGCCTTCCTGATTTTTCTAAAGATTTCATAGTGGAGACGGATGCATCGGGTTATGGTTTGGGAGCGGTTCTTATGCAAGATGAACAGTCGATCGCTTATTTTAGTCAAGCTTTGGGACTAAGAGCGAAACAGAAATCCGTTTATGAGAAAGAATTAATTGCGATTGCGTTGGCCATTAAAAAATGGCGGCCGTAATTGTTGGGAAAAAAGTTCTTAGTACGAACCGATCAACAAAGCCTTCGTTTTTTGGAACCAGAGTATCAGAAGTGGGTTAGCAAACTACTGGGTTACGATTTTTCGATTGTCTATAAACAGGGTAGTTTCAATCAAGCTGCGGACGTGCTTTCTCGTAAAATCGACTCGGTAGAATTGGCCAACATGGCTAATTTTCGATGGAGAAATTGGGACGACTTGAAAGAAGAAATTGTTGGAGATAATTTTCTGAACCGCATTAAAACGACCTGTCAGTTGGAAGGGCCGAGCACAAAGGGTTCGAGATTCAACAGGAGTTGCTATTATATAAGGATCGTTTGGTTATCCCTCGTTTATCCAAAATGATCCCGTTGATTTTTGATGAATTTCATGGGTCTCCTATTTGGTGGGCATACAGGGGAAGATCGGACGTATCAACGTATTTCAGCGGAAGTTTTTTGGGTGGGAATGAAGAAATATATTGTTGAAATGGTAAGAAATTGTGAGGTTTGTCAAAGAAATAAAAATCTTAGTGGCTGTCCGGCGGGTCTCTTGCAATCGTTATCCTTACCGGAGGAAGTATGGGACGAGATTTCTATGGATTTCATTGAAGGCCTTCCCCGATCAAACGGTATGAGTTCGATTATGGTAGTAGTAGACAGGCTAAGTAAATACGCCCATTTTGTTGGATTAAAACACCCTTTTACTGCTCAAACGGTGGCCGAGGCATTCGTAAAAGAGGTAGTAAGATTGCATGGGATTCCTCAATCGGTGGTTTCGGATCGAGACAAGGTGTTTCTTAGTCAATTTTGGAAAGAGCTTTTCCGTTTGCAAGGAACGAAATTGAAGTTCAGTTCGGCGTACCATCCACAGTCAGACGGACAAACCGAGGTAGTAAACCGATGTTTGGAGCAATACTTGCGATGTTGGGTGTCATCTACACCTAAACAGTGGAGCAAATGGCTTCCATGGGTTGAATTCTCGTATAATACCTCCTTTCATACATCCCTTAAAGTGTCTACTTTTAAGGTATTGTATGGTAGAGATCCTCCTCCTCTACTCCGTTATAAAGCAAATTCATCAAGGGTACAATCGGTAGACCAAGAGTTGATTGATAGAGAAGAAATGCTAGATGAAGTGAAATTGCACTTGCTTAAAGCTCAATTTCGTATGAAACAATATGCTTATTTGAGAAGAAAAGAAGTGGAGTTTGTGATAAGAGTATTAGGAGATTGGGTTTTCTTGAAGTTGCGTCCTTACAAACAGAAGTCGTTGGTGATTGGGAATAGCCCTAAACTTCTTGCTCGTTTTTATGGACCGTATCAAGTGTTGGAAAAGATTGGGAGTGTGGCGTATCGTTTGGATTTACCGAGATCAACGAAGATTCATCCGGTTTTTCACGTTTCTCAATTAAAGAAGGCTGTGGGTAGTTGTATTTCGACGCACGACTTTCCAACCCAGATTTCTGAAGAGTTGGTATTACAGGCTATTCCCAAAGACATATTGGATGTGAGACCCTTACCGAATGGTGACGTGGGTCAATTTGAAGTTTTGGTAAAATGGCAAGGAATGTACGATTTTGAAGCATCGTAGGAGAAACTTGAAGCACTTCTTCAGCAATTTCCTAGCTATCACCTTGAGGACAAGGTGAAATTTTTTTTTTTTGGGGGGGGGGAGTATTGATAAACCTCCTTTGAGGTTTACGTATAGAAGGAGAAATCAGGTTTAAGTAGTTGAGTCGATGTTTCTTAGTTTTGAATAAGGGAGGGTAGTTTRGTAATTGTTTCTGGTTTAAATAGTGGGCTGTCTGGTAGAAGTCGTATTCTGTTTTTGATTTCGGTTCAGTCAGTTTGGAGCGACAGCTCAGGGAGAGAACCCAGACCTCTCGGAAAGTCTGGGAATTGCATCGATTTCGTTTATCAATAGATTGGCCGACAAATTCAATCATGTATGTTACAATCGACATGTTCTAGCTACTGAATTACAAATACTGTATGTTATCGCACACGTATCGGGGTAAGGGGAACGATTTCGATTACGATTAAAGCTAGGGTACATCAGAAGCATCCTCAACAGCATCCCGGATGAATCCACAGAGACCAAGAAACCAATAAAATCAAAACTCAAATATAAGGTGAGACTACTACTGTACTAGTACTCATAATATCATGTATTACATGCCTTAGGGTGCGTTTGGTTTGGGAGCAAGACTGGATAGGACTGAATGGGACTAGATAGTCGAGAGAGAGGTATACGAGTGAAAGATTTATGGAAGGTTTTAAGGTTTAGCAATTTGCCAATCTTGTCCCATCTACCTGAATTCTGTTCCACCTATTTTGGTGTCAGTTTTTTTTTCTTTGTTCCCAGTCTAACACACCAAACGTGGGACAACAAGTTTTTGTTTTGTCTTGTCCCACGTACCAAAAGCACCCTTAAATTCCAAAAAAGGCCAACAACACAACTCGTAATGAAGGACCAACTAGTCATAAAACTCCAAGCACATGCTCACTAGTTACTTTTAAGTCTCATTTGTCACCATCCAGAATATAACAATACTTCCTCTATTTCTTGTAGGCTCACTAGTCACCAAGCCAAGTTTTAAGACTACCACGAGCCAACACCCCCTGTTTCCATAATCAAGATAAAATGTAATAAAAAAAAGACTCGAGATGTGTACACAAACTTTTCTTCTCTTCACATCTACAGGTTTCCCAGTTACCACATACTTTAGGTACTTAAAAGACAACAGTTCCAATTGTGCGGAAATAGCTTCTCTTCTATGATACTTTCCATTTATTTGCACCCCTCTTCTACAACGCCCCTTGACGTAAAATTCTTCACCACCACATACCTTGATGTATTATGTAGATTACAAAGAAGAAGAAGAGAGTCAGAGACTAGTTGACCAGACTCCTTTTAAACCAAAGGAATACAGTAAATCCAACATGAAGTAGGGTCTGGGGAGGGTATGTGGAGAGGCTGTTTCGTGGAGATCTTTTGAGAAAAAGATTCTCTTTTTTGCAAAATTGAGGTGATATCATGATGTTGGTATTAGCCTATTATCATATTAGATCGCATATATGCATTTTATTCAAATACAATTCACTTCTGCTAGATCCTATCCAACAGTAAACACGAAATCGAACCCTCAAACAAATGAAGCAACTAAAACAAAGTTCATCATCAACAAATGACCAAACTACATCAAATTCAAAACGAAGTTCAATATCAATAAATGAGCAACATTTCACAATAATGACAGATAAAAGAACAAATTTGAAGAGCTTTAATTTAAGTTAAGAAAATGGGAATGGCAAAAAGAACACAGATATAATAAGCAATAACTAACCACTTATATCTCAAGAAATGGCCCTCGATAGGTGAAGATTCAGGTACATCGTCGGTAAAGACAGTCTGGTCGGGACGGCGGACAAGCACGTAGGGCGAAAGCTCGCAGCCCACAATCGGAATATCGGACGGGAGGTGCACTCTCAGCACGCTCAGCATGCTTTTTAATCACAACAACTTCTTCTTCTTCTGACGTCAAAATAACCTAACCCTAATTCAATAAACAACGACGATGAAAAGAAAACTCCGGCGACGATAACGAATTCGAGCAAGAAAACTTGGCGGACACCAGGCGGATCCGCCATTACACGTCCTCGACACCCGCCAGCCTTGCCCAATTTTTTGAAAAATCACAAACAAAATCCAAAATCAAAAACCCTTTTTGTATTTCATCAAAAATTTCGAAAGTAATTTAACAAGTCCCACCAAAAGATCTTGAAAAAAGTAGGGGGGTTGTTTTCAAGAAATGATGAAAATAATGAAATTGGAAAATGAAAATGAAAACCGATCGATTGATCACAAGATCAACAAGTCTTGGGAAAAAGAAAGCTCAAGAATCAGGGTTTGATTGACTAAAGATGGAATCAAGAGAGAGAGAGAAACAGGAGGAGATCGGTTTGATTTTTGGGTGTTTTTCTTAGGGTTTTACAAACACAAAAGAAAGAAGAAGAAGAAGACGCACTCTTTCTATCGCGTCTCTCGTCTTAATTTCTTCGTATCGTATTGTCGTATTATGATTGTGTATATAAATGTATTTAGAATTATCATAAACACACACAAAAATAAATCTTGTGATCTTAAAGGTTTGATTTTTATGTCAATTATACATCGATCGAACCATCATCATTCATGGGTTGGGTTTCTTTTTTGTATTAACCCGTCAATATGCTTGGCGTACAAATTTCTCTCAAATAAAAACCAAATTCACAAAAGAAATTTTATTAGGGTTTTGAAACCCCAAATTTTAAACAAACCCAAAACTTGGGATTAATCACAATCCATAAGAAATAAGGGATTTGTTGCACGTCCCAACATAATTAGTATGAATTTTGTGGGTTTACACTTTTAATTTTAGATTTTATATTTTTGTAAATCTAATTAATCAAATCACTCACAGACACAGTTTCACAAATTCATAATGTTACAGACTCACAGTTAAAATGAAATTGTAAATTTAGCTTTCTAAGTTCTATTTAAAATATTTAATCATAAATCTATTTTTACAATAATATTTTATATGATTTTTCTTCTAATATGAATGTACATTTTTAATATCATTGTCTGATTAGACAATATATAAAAAACATGTATTTATATATATAATTCTATATATGACATACAAATTGTCGTCTTATGTCACGTTTTGAAAAATATTGCGTCCTCGGTGTGGCGTATAAGGCTTGAGGTTTGACTTCGTCACCACGCCTCACACTTTTTTGAACCTTGGTTTGAACAGAATATAAATTATAAGTAATAATTAATTTTAAGATTTAATAAAACCTCCCAAAGAATGAATGAAAATATATAACAATATGTATTTCAAATATAAAAAAAATGTTTGTTTTTTAATATTTTGTTTGACTTTACATTTAATCATTGGTTTATTTAACCTAATTTTTTTAAATCCATAGGAATCTAAACAACTTCAGCATTTGTTTGTTTGTAAAGAAAAATGACACCTTTGACAAGCTTAGATTAAACCAGGAGAATAACATCAGAACCCTGATCAGACACTTGGGACACGCCCTAAGAGAGAAACGAGAAGCAAACAGTGGAAAATAACAAAAAAAAAAAAATGAAGTGGTTAGAACAACCTCCATACCAAAGACAAAGCAACCCAAGCAAGGATAGGCTAATACGCCAGACTTCATGCAAAAAAAAACACCGAAAAAGACATCAAAAAGAGAATAAGTTGGATCCATAAAAACAAGACATTTGATAGACGCTCATGCTGACCTTTTGGCCAAAACAGGAGCCAAACACTACTAGAAAAAAACTTGGGTCTTCATCAAACCTTAAAAGGCACCATTTGTCCATTTACAAATAAAACTTCACATGTGAAGTTTCGTATGTGAATCTCCATGTGAAGTTCTACATAAAGTTGTACAATTTCAACATGTTGTTTTATATCTTATTGAGCAATTAGTTTTCCTGGAAACGACTTTCGAAATTTTGGGAAATTTATGAGGTTATTGATTCTTGATGTCGACATTGTACCAACTCGGTTCTTATTTACGATATAGCTTTAGAGCATTTCCAACATATTCTTTAAAATGGAGATAATAAAGAGTTTGGGCAAAGTTTTGCTCTAAGAAATTTTCCAAAATGGATAAAGTATGAGAAAGAGATTGTAAAGTTCTCTAAATTCAGAGAACTTCCAAAAAATGATTACCATCAGAAACCAACTCTTTTGTATTATGTTTTTGCCAATAAGAAACCTTGAAGGTAAATTTTGTTAAGAAAAATAATAATTTACTATATATATAGAGAGAAATGTGAGTTATTATGCAAATATTTACATTTGTACAACCAATATAATTCAATCTCAACCGTACATTTAATTTTGATGAATTTGTGATTTCATAAAAGTTTTGATTGTTTCCTAGTATAAAGTACAAATCATAATTAATAAACATTCGTCATCTTCCATAAATATTTAAATCATAATAAATGAACTCTCATCATTTTCATAAATATTTTAATTAATTGAGTTGCATTGGTTATACAAATATGATGGGTTACATTTGAAACGCCCTCTCTCTCTCTCTCTCTCTCTCTATATATATATATATATATATATATATACATATATATGAGCGATCAAATGAAAACCACCATCATTTGTACAAACCGTACAAACCACCCTCATACGTCGATTTCATTGTTTAATCTT